TGTGTGTGTGTGTGTGTGTGTGTGTGCGGAAGGCAGAGCGGCAGAGAGATGCGACAGAGTTGCGAAATTGCAGGCGCGGCTCGAAATGGCTGTTATTTCAAATAGCGTACCATATTTTAAACTAATCGGTTAACCGGTTTCAACCGGCTACTGAGGCTCGGTGGTCGGTCAAGAATTTTTTTAGTTTTCGCCATCCCTATTAACTACTCATGTCTCTTAAAAATGCAAATGTAACAGCTCATCACATAGTCAGATACCGCTAAGTCCAAACACTAAGAATCCTTGGTTAAAATCGTTTTAAATTGTGAAAATGTAAAATCCAACGGCAGCATACAGGAAGTCACTGCATAGGTAGGCTATATACTGTACTACACCAGTAGATTTAAGTCACACCTGAGGTACGGCTCTCTCATTCAGTCATGACCAAGAATTAGCCTATCAGAGTCTCATTCACCCACTCACTCAGCAACTCGTTTACTCTCTCAAGGTCTCTCATTCAGGACAAGAAGTATGAACTAGGCTTTAAGTCTCATTTTCATCATGCAGTAATTTACATGTATGGCATGGTGGTACCCTTAGGTTGATGTGTATGTGAAGTTTGTGTGTGTATGTGCCCTGCAGTGGAGTGGCTTCCTGTCTATGGTGTACCTTATGCCTCTTGCTTTCAGGGAAAAGATGGTTAGGGCTGGGTTGGTGTTGTGATTAGAGTTTTCCCCATATAACTGAATGTAGAATCACAAAGATATAATTACAAACCAGTGTGTGTGCATGTGTAATATGTATATAAGGTTGGTCCTTAAAAATGAAAATTTGAAAATGCTACTTCTCACCCCATAATTTTTTTTATACAAGAAAACATTTCATGAATTTTTGATGACTTTTCAAAGATGATTAGAGGTTGCTCAAGCAACTCGAATGGCGAAAGTCTTTTTTTTGTGTTACAGTAGGAATCAGTTACTATAATACTATAATGTTACTATAATGGAACACACGGGCATAAGAAATAACAACTTTCAATGGCGATTTGCTAATTCAGCATCCACGCCAGAGCAAAACATCCTAATGATTATCATACACTTGCACAGAAGTGACCATGTTTTAATTTTAACTTACACACTCAATAAATGGTTGCAGTCTGGAGCTCTGGGGAAAGTCATTGTGTCCCCTCTCACATTAGTTGCAAGTGGTACTAGTCAATTGTTTGGTCCATCATGGTATGAGCAGCATGTGAGTGTTTCTGCAGGACAGGCTATGAGGCTGCTGCCAGGCATTTCATTGCTGGGGATCTGGACGTGAGCCTGAGCGGTAGATCCTTCATGATCACTGGTGCCAACAGCGGCATCGGCAAAGCCACCGCCTGTGAGGTGGCCAGAAGAGGTAATGCTTATTTAACACTATAACTGCCCTTAATAAATGACCTTAATTGACCTAGTTCATTTTAAAATGAACTTCAACATTTTACTTCAACAAATTTCTAAACAAAGTTTTTGCGTCACCATTTTTGATAATTCCGAGAAAGCTGAAAAACATTGGAAAGATGGAAAAAAAGTTATTTTTCATGGGATGGTCAAATTTAATGTTTGCATAAGTCTAAATTTCTTTTTTCAAAAAATTCCTGGAACTTGAAAAAAACATTTAAATGTATACAAAAGTTAAATCTGAGTTCTCTCTTTGAGCATCCCAATGAGCAATAGCTGAGTTGGGGCGCTGTAATAGCTCATAATATTAATATTTTACTGCTACCTGGGGTGTATAAATGGCGCTATATTTCAGGGGGAATTTTTTTAATAAATAAACATTTCTGAGCTCTGGAAGGTATGTGTCAGTCACATGCCAAATTTCATCAAAATTAAAATGCAAAGGCCATTTGTTGAAATTGAATGACCTAACTGCAATGGTTTAGGAACTTTCTGACATTGCTCGCCCGGTGGTTATTTTTGACAGTTGCATAACAACTAGTCTTGAGTAGATTTTAGTAACCGGTGGCATTAAATGATTAGCAGTGAATTTAAATGTGTGGACTGTCTATGTGGATCTGGGCCATGATGATAATGCACGGCCTGTATTCATACTTCGAACAGACTTTACCTTCCCATGGCTGTATGTTTTGTGTTGTGAGTAGGGGGGACTGTACACCTGGTTTGCAGAAACAGGGAGAGAGCGGAGGAAGCAAAGCAGGACGTTATCCAGCAGTCTGGAAATGAGGTAAAGACAAAAGTAAAATAGTTAGGACCTCAAGATGTCATTCACTTTTGTAGTATCCTTCTTGGATTATATTAAGCCTATTTATTAATATTTTTATTTTCTTTTGATTTTAGACCTGGGGGGTTATTTTCTGTACGTGGATTACTCGTTTAGCCAGATGTAATTGTTGACAATTTGGCATAATGCTGGATCTGTTGGTTTTTCGAAAGTCTTGCTGGATGTGTTGTCATAGCAGCACATCCAAATCCTCAAACCTGCTCGGAGCCGTGGCCTGTACTACGAAGCGGGGTTACTGGCTTATCGGGGTAACTTGTCGGATTTAAGGTACCACAGTTTAAATGGACTTCGTATTCGTTCACTTACATTTTGCCCTGACCACCTTAAATCTGACAAGTTACCCCGATAAGCCAGTAACCCCGCTTCGTAGTACAGGGGACAGGTTTGTTTTGTGTGAACAAGGATTATTGTACCTCAAAGATTTATTAGCACCTTATATAACCAAACTAGGCAAAGTATATATACGTTTATATAAGTGTGTGTGTGTGTGTGTGTGTGTGTGTGTGTGTGTGTATATATATATATATATATATATGAAATTTCGCTTATAATGGACAAACAATTTGGTCCCCAGGGCCGCTTTTAGCTGTAGTTTGTTCGGCTATAACAGACATGCAGGCTCCGCTTCAGCGCAGATACGTAGTCGGGATTATTAATAGTCACGCATCTGGTCAGGTAAAGTTGGATTGCTACATGTACAATATAATAATCTATAAAACAAGTGTGTCTGCTGAGGTGTGGCATGAGTAAATGGTGTCCTGTAGTTGTGTTCTGGGCATACAGCAACTCTGGATATAACAGACTGTTTTGCCAGGTCCCTTGAAGTCCGTTATATAACGATATTTTACTGCATTAAATAATAATCAATCTGACACCATAGGAAATAAAACGCTGCATTAGGTAAGTACAATGAACACTACTTCTGCGTTTAATTTGTCGGGCACTTTTTGCCAGCCGTCTTTTCTGGTTTGGGCTGCTTTCGCATATTGTGCATATTAGTTCTTGAAATTCTTCATATCCTTCTAATACAAGGTCCTGCTCCGATTGTGTGAAAAGGTGTGCCTTGTCATTTTGTTGCAGCCTATCAAAGACTTGCTGATCATGTTTTCTAGACTCGATATATATGGGCCTTTCAATCTGCTCTGGCGCGCGCAATCATCTCGGATGATTCGATCCAGTTAGACCAGGGCTATTCAAATCACGGTCCTCAAGGTCCGAGCCCTGCTGATTTTCCAGCCTTCCTTTACCTGTGAGCTGGGTATGAAGCCTCTGTGGCCAATCAGAATCAATAATTATTAAAACAACTACCTGGGAGAATTGAAAACAAGGCCTGGATTTGGATTAGAATTTGAAGATTGAAAGATTTGAAGATCCCTGAGCTAGATTAATCTACTACACAGCTGCGTTTGAAAACCCGACTTATTCTGGATGAGTTTCACCAGCATTAACTCATCCAAGATGAGGCATCTGATCTCGGATGATTTAAGCGATGTACGGAAAATACCCCCCTTTTTACAATAAATATTCAATAATAATCCAATTAAAAATAAACAGTCTGTTTTCTCTGTTCATGTAGTTAATTAACTGATAAATTATGATGTTGCTGCCATGTTTTCAAAATTGGTTTTGCTTATCCTGAAATACCATCTGAAGTGGTCATTGTAAAACCTTTTTTAGAATTTTCCAGTATCTTCATTTTTTCTATTCACTTGTTTGCTCAGAAGAAACAAGAAAAACTCATCATCACTGTTGCTAATGGTGCATGTCGCCATTGGTGTGAAGCAGCCAGAAATCACAATACATAACAGAGGACCTCATTTACTGTGGATTGTACTCTGCTAGACTGTTGCAGGGTGGTGTGAGACTCTGGATTAGGTCTTGTCACTAGAAGGTCAGTGGTTTGAATCCTGTAGCTGGAAGACTGAAATTACCTCTGCCGGGCCATTGAGCAAGGCCCGTAACCCTGAAAACTGCTCCACATTTGCTGGCTGAATGCCTAACTGGGGCAGAGTGGGCAGGGCCACCACCCTTGGGCCAGGGCCCTCCCATATGCCAGATACACATAAAGTTACATTGATATAATTTTTCCTAAGCTCTTGAGAGCTAGAACATATTACTTTCATTTTAACTGTGACTTGCGATTTTATATATCTGTCATTTTTTGTATACATTCTTATTATGGTGGGTGTATGGTGTAATTTTTAATTTTTAGAAAAAAAAAAATCTGTAAAATCCCTACAACAAACTTCAAAACATTGCTATGTATTATATTTTAAGTTAAACGAAGCTGTTCCTTTTGTATTTAATGGTTTTCCGTTTGAGGAATTTGCAAAAATTTGCAGTGCATGATGGGTAGGATCTAAAGGCTGCCTAACGTCCTCGTCCAATCGGTGTTTTGCCCCGGGACCTTATGTGCAATTGTTCCGCCACTGATGCTGGACATTGTGATTTTCCCCCCAAGCTTTGTGCTTACCTGTATGGTCTCATAGGAGAATAAGATACAGTGCTTCCCCTAGGTTTACGCAACTGTGTATCTTATTTACACAACAGTTTGTCATTTTTGTCTCTAAATAACATAAGGCTATTTAGTTTGTTTAATAAAAGGACAATGTATAGACCTGTTCTATAGGAAAGGTGACCTTAAATGACTTCTGTTATTATCTGTCGCTATATAGAAAATAAAATTTAATAAAATTAACTTGACGTGGGGGGGGGGGGCAGGAGGTGCCATTGGGGGGGCAGGAGGTTAGATTCATTATTGATCAGATATATACAGTCATTTTCCTTCCGTTCTCTGTACATCCAGAATGTCCATGTTCACCTGCTGGACATCTCCAGCCCCAGGCAGGTGTGGCAGTTTGCGGAGAGTTTCATGCAGAAGAACGTCTTGCATGTGCTGGTGGGTCTTTGCCTCTGCTCCATAATCTCACACTGAACCAAATGTAATGGTTACTCAAATTGTGAATGACATCACATCGAACCAAATGTAATGGTTGTAAACTCAGTATATTCAAGGCCACCAGTGATGTCATATAATAGCAACGGTGCAAACTAATAAATCAAAATCTTTGGTTTTTGTCCCTTAAAATAAATAGTATAGACTCAATTATTCAGTTGTCAGCAGCTACTGTTTTGTGGCTTGCATCTCAATCAAGGATATTATATTTATATTAGTGCTGGGCAACGATTAAAATCTTTAATCGTAATTAATCGCATGATTTGTCTGATTAATCATGATTAATCGCAATGTTATGCGAAAATTTTATAATGAATTCAAAAGTAGTGTTTTGTGCACTTTATTTTAACCCTCTGGGGTCGGCGGTCCCGCCTGACAGAAATTTCGCCAAATCATTTAAATAACATTGCGAGTTTTTGTCATATAAACATTTAAAAAACACCCTCAGAAACCTTGGACGGTCTACTTCTCAAATATATATAGGTAGAAATTGTTGCCATTTTCAGCAGCAATTCTTGTACCTGTGTCCATGGCTCAGTGTGCTAAGCCTGTCTGCCTGTAATCACAAGAT